TTTACCTGAATAAATATTTGCAGATTGAATTAGAAGACTTTTTAGGGCATTAAATAAGCTCAAGTCTGTTGCTGATAGCTTGGAATTTTAATTAAAAATAATATGCAAATAAATTTGACAGAAAGAAGAAATCACGGATTTAGGAAAGATGACGATTTTTTTTTCATTATTAATGTTGTATTGCTAATGAAATATTCACAGCTGTTAGTTCTGAGAAGCATTGTATAGCAGTTCAGAGATGGTGTGATGTTTCAACAGTGCTTGCTAAGTATTTTTGTACTGAATCAAGAATAGTAATTAAGGAACAATTCTTGACTAAGTGAATGTAATAGTCATTCTTGCCACACATTTTGGCTTCCTTGTTGTATTTGATTACTTACTGATAAAACAGTACAGTTTCCGTCTTCTAATCTACTAAAATTACTTAAGAAGAGGTATTTTCAATAAGGGTGAGTTGCATTCTTGCTTTCTTCACCTTCATAAAACCGTTTTGCTAATTTTTTCCATAAATTTTCTGTAGCCATCACAGTTTCATCAATTTTAACTGCTTGCCATCCTATAATATCTTAAATTTATATTATTCAATAATTTATTCAAATAAATTATAATATACAAAAACAATTCTATCATTCTTAAATTTAGTCTAAGAAAAAAGTTGAAAACAAATTCACTACCAAATATTGTATTATTTGCGTTTAAAAAAAATTACTGAATTTTGAATCAAGTATTTTTCAGTGGTATGACTTTGAGATAATAAATAATTCAAAAAATTTACTACCAAATATTAGCATTGGAATTTGCTCCAAAAACATTTCTGAAATTCCATTAGCAATCATTCTTATCTTTTTTGATGAGCGATTACAGTACACTTAAATAATGAATCAAAAATAATGCACAACGAAAGTAATTTGCATTCTTTTTGATTGTTAAAAAATATTATGAGTAGTGGAATTGAAATGAAAATAAGAATAGAGCAAAAGTATTAAAATTGCTGATTGTAAGAGATTTATTGCTTTTCAAAAAATTCTGTTGTTAGTGTGACACGAATATCTGCATAGCATAGTTGACATTTACAAGAGCGAACTAAAGCTGAGATAGGTCAAAGTTGGCGTGATACGTTAAAGCTATGATTGAAACATGTCAGTTTATGTATTATCGCATGAAATTCGCTATGCTATGAAGAAGTTTGTAAAGTTTTCGTAAAATAGTAAAAGTGAATTCCTTACAATAGTAATTTATTTCTCATTACTTTTACACTAGCATTCATAATTTTTTTGAAGATAAAAAGAACAGAAATATATTGAAAAGTTTCTTACAAAAGTGTTGCATTTATTAAATGTCATTTTTTGCGCTAAAATTTTTGTAAATTTTTATTCCGCCCTATGCTTTCATATTGGCATATTTACTGGCAATTGCTTCTTTTCTATTTAAATTTCAGTCATTTTTGAATGTTAGCCGTAAAGTCATCGAAGCAATTGACATGCAAATATTCAGTTTATATAGTTTAATTTACTTTCAGTTCAAAAATTGATTTTTATTACTTTTTAACAGCAATTTTTGCTTTGAAAATAGTTGAAAAAATATGCAAAAGTAATAATAATTGTTTGCTAACTCAGAGCATTTTTTCTTGCATTCAGTTAGTCTTGTGAACAAAATGCAGAAAATTGTTCAAATGAATCATTCCTTCAAAAATGCTTTTTTTGGTTGTATTAATTGGCTAAATTTGCGTTTGCTTATTTTTATTAGCATTTATTACCTTTAAAATTTTGCAGTGAAAAAGAAAGTTTTACATACATTCGTTTTTTTGAATGAATTAAATTTGCTAAAAATTAATTAATTTATGCATTTTAATTAACTTTCAAATCATGACAATACTTGAAAACATGCAATCTCTTAAAATTCCAACTGTTACAAATATTGGTAATTTCTTACATTAAATTTGTATTAAAGTTTAGTTTTGAATAATTTTTCAAATTTTATCTACCTGCAATAATTTTTTATACTACAAAACTATTATCAAACAATCTTAAGCGAGCAAAGAGTTGTCAACTTTTCAAGCTAACAGGTACTCAAGTCTTTTCACATATAAGTATTGTGGAGGAACTATACTAGTCTCTCAGTATAAAGTAATGCTATTACTGTGGTATCATTTATGTACAAAAATAATACTTGCATTATCACATTTTGCAAGCACTCAGTTAGCATCACCACGTTTTTTAATGATTTTATCAAATCATATAGTACTTTATGAATAATTTATGAGGGGAAAAAAGAGTATTCGCAGAGATGTAACATTTATGTAATCAGCATTTCAATTACAAACTTGGACATACTTCTTAAAATAACTTTGCTAATGTTATCAGTAATGGAAGTAATATTCATAACTTTACACTCTTAAACTGAACTTCAATAATTTCATACATATCCATCACTGCTTGCTTCTTCAATTCATCATGTCAGATTTATGCCGACCTGTAAATATTAACCTTTTAATTATCAGTTATGGCTGTCATCTGTACTAGTAATTCATGTTGAATAACAAATAAAGCAAGACTATCACTACACACGGTAATTTTATGCTTCACTGAATCGCAGATTACATTTTTTTCCCGCCAAGCTATTCATAAAAATAGACTGTGACTGTGCAGTATGAAACTTCTATTTATATGCACTCAAGCCGATATCAACTGTTGCTGTCAGAGTGCATACGTGTGTATAAGACAAAGCAGTCAAGCGAAAACTGATCTGCCATTTCTGCATTCTCTGAGTTATTTGCAAATTAAAGCTTTGCGAATAATTTGAAAAAAATTTTTGGAAGACAATCGAGAACGTTACTGATGATATGAAAGTATTCAATGTTCAAATGGCAATGATAGTTGATAACAGCGCTATAATATACTCTTCCTTGTTAGCATAGTATTCTCCCAAAACGATTCAACGCTTCCACAACTACACACAAGATTCTTTCTACTCTTTAAACTTAAAACTTGACTAGAAGTATTCTAAATTAGCTCCACTAATATTACTGATTCAACTTTACTAGTTAGGTGATGCATGTGATCTTTAAAAAAGAAAGGTTCGTGCTCGAGTTGCTATAGAAAACATTTTGGCGGGAGAATTAGTTATTCATAAATTAATTAGTAATGAAATTAAAAATTTGCAAAATAATGCGTATCATACCGCGTATTTCATTTAAAAATTATTTCTTTTTCTATTACTGTGAGAGAGGAATTTTTTTTTTCAACTGCCACTGCTTGTGCATGAAAATGATCCCAAATGTGAAAGTGTAAAAGAAATTCAAGTGAAGGATTATGAGCAATTATTTAAAAGTTATATTATTATTTCACTTTAATGAGGGGATATATATGAGATAACCCACAGTTAGAGCAAGTAAACGTTGGCATTTTTATTCACTTATAGCACTTGCAAAGGAAGCAGTGAAGTATACCAAAGAAAATGGATTTAATTTAGATATTATTTGAAAAACCAATAATGAAGTAGTCTATTGATAAAGTGCATTATTTAATAAATGAATATATTATTCATCCAATCTTGTCAGAAAGTAAAATATTATTCAGCCTCTGAGTGCTGTATTGGATATCCGTCCATTTGAAAACTTTACAAGTTGAAAGGTCAATGGGTGATATCAATTTTAGTACTGTTTTTAAGACAAAAGATGAAACGTTGCTCGGTTTTTACTTGTATTTTAGCATTTATTATATAAATAATATCATTTAGTGATAGTAGGTTATTTCCAATTGTTGATTAGAATTATCAGTAACTATTTAGATTTTTAATCAAAATGTTATTAACTTGAAATGTTGCGGAGTGCTATAATTTTCTTTCTTTTAGTATCAAAAAGTAAACAGAAAATAAATTAGAGATTACTGATTTGCAAGGTAGTTTAGCACATTATATTAGCATGTATTTAACCGTTTGATTAGTATCACTTGCATAAATAATTAAAGTTATTATGCCAAAATTGACAGTACTTTTTATTTTTTTGCTAAATTAAGTAATCCTTGTCAAGTACGCACGTGTCCGCAATGTCACGCTGGACAGCAAGTATAGCACTATGTTATGGCGTTTTCATACGAATATGAAAATAAGTCAGTATGTGAAAAAAAATTAAGAAAAAATAACAAAATCAAAAGAAATCATTTTCAATTTTTTATTGATTGCTTTATTTTAGAAAATGCAATTTTCTTATTGATTTGGACTTAAAATTGAATTCAATAACTTACTGAAAGCTGTGTATAAAATATTACTGCAAGTAACTTTTTTTCGCCAATTCATACAATTGAATTGATAATCTGAGGCAGAACAAATTTGTCATGCGAGAGAGTTAGTAGTCAATGCTCACAAAGTGATCTATGCTAAGACTGATTCATGCTATAATAATTATTATATTTCTAGTTTCTGCTTCACTTTTTGGGATTAGAATTTTCATGCTGACTTGATTAATTCGCGAAGAAATGAGTAAACAAAAATATCTAAGCACGATGCTAGCATTCAGATTGCTCAATCGAATATAGAGGGTGTTTACGGTTGTTATGCAGTGGTGAAGAGTTGTGCGAGGTTGCTCGAGTGGTTTGGCATCTTTCCGGGAGGATAGAGACGTGAATTAATTGATTGATTGCTACTAAAAGTTTTTGTAACTACTTGTTAACATTGATTTTATTGGTATTTGATAGATATTGTCAGTACTACGGTTTAATTTGTATTTAAATTTATAGCTTAGTAAATTTCAGAGTTTTCATGTATTGGGCACTTCACTTGTTTTTAGAAAATTACTTCTTGGAAATTACCTAGACTTCTTTCCGAATAAATCTATATTTTAATGTAGTTTAGTCATAATAATAGGATATTATTTCCAGTATTGCTGTGTATTATGATCGAAATTGATTTTAGTTCATGAAAATAATTTTATATCATTAAAGTGATTTTAGACGCGGAAATAATCATAAAATAGATCCATTAATTGTCTTCTTTACTGCGAGATGGATCAAATAGAATTTTCATCGTTGGAATCATTCTTCAATTGGATTTTGTGGTGTGATTTCTGGTCTAATTGTTTATGGCTTGTATCGTTTGTTTTCATTATTGCGTTAATTCGATTTTTGGATTTGTTAAGTTATCCAGAAAAACCTGCTGTAACATACATGTTGCAAACATCACTGGATAAAACTTTTGATTCATCAATCGGTGAAGTTCTAAATCGATGCCCCATTTTGAATGAAATGTTAGTTGAAGAATTTTTCGCTCTTAGTTTTTCAGTTTTTTTGTGAAATTCTATTTATTACAAACAACTTTGCAAATTATTTTGTTTAGTTCTGCAAAAACTTGCAGATTTTAGAATCATTGTGAAATACAACAATAAATCTTGTATGAAAGCAGTTTTCAGTAGCTTATAACGTTTGGGAATGTACAGCATAATTTAAATAACTAATTTACTTTGGTTTATATTATGATTTATTCTATGTTTTCTAGCTACTCACCTCCTTTACTATGGGGTCGAAGTGGACATTTACAAACAGCATCATATGGGCTATTTGGACATGCATCACTTATCAGAACCTATGATCGTCGACATGTTGTAAAACTTAATGATGGTTCATCGGTCATATTTGACGTTTTTGAGCCTGTAAAGTTCCATCCTTCTGGAAGTTAGTGCTATGCAATTTCTTGCTTAGAATATTAAAGATGGCTTCGTTAAAATCATGAGTGAAAGTAAATTTCTTAACACGTTCTCTTTTATCTGTTAATGAAAAAATATTCTGTAATATCCTTTGATTACTAAAATTTTACAGAAGACATTACACTCACATTATGTCCTGGTATAGCGAATACTAGTGAATCAAATTATATTCGTACATGTGTGCATTATGCTCAAGAAAATGGATTTCGTTGCGCCGTTTTAAATCATCTCGGCGCGTTGAAACATGTTCCTTTGACATCCAATCGTATATTTTCGTACGGTACGCTGGTTATTGTAATTCATTGCTTAATATAGTGAAGAAGTAGTTACCAGCTGCCAGGTACAAGTAAATTTAGTGATGCATAATAAATTCACGAAAAATGGTTTTTCTGTTTTTGAAGTTTTGACGGTATTTATTTCACGATTGTTAAGAAAATCCTAAGTTTTTCTTCCATTAATTGTTCGTGTTATTGCGATCACAAAAAAAATTTGATTGATTTTTGTCAAATGATCTTTCAGTGAACAGTTTTGGTAATCAGCGCCCTCAGATTTATATAAGATTGCTAAATGTGAAGAAAAACGTTGTATCGATTTGATTCAGGTGGCACTGAGGAATTGGAATCGATGATCAACCGTTTGACAGACTTGTATCCGTCGACTCGTTTTTTCTGCATTGGTTTCAGTATGGGTGCAAATATAACTACTCGAATGATGGCTAAGTTTTCATCAGAAAGCATACGAAAACGAATTATTTCTGCTTTATCTGTCGCGCAAGGATATTGTGCTACTAGGTCAATTCTTCTAGAAATTTTAATTTTAGATTAATTAAGCAAAAACTGCTTGGCAGTTTGTAGAATTCATTATGAAATACAAGAATCAATCCACTTTAGTATCATACTGACTTGTAAAGTCCACTTTAGTAAAGTCTGTATGATACTAAGGATAAGTATAAAACAGTTTGGTACTCTTCATATTTGGAGGTTCAGAAAGAATCAGTTTTTATAATGTATAAATTCATCTTCAATAACGTATTTGGTTTTTTTTAGTCTTGAGTCTTTTTACCATATTTAACAAGGTTTTCTTTTGCCATGTTTCATTTTAAATTATGGGGATTATAAATTTTCCATCTTGCGTGAAATATCACTATCTAGAACAATGTCTGAAATTTGTGCTACTGTTCCTGAACATCTTTGTCTTGTTTCATTCATATTTGTGCATAAAACAACACATTAAAGATTTCTTAAAAGTTTTCAGCTCAATTGCGCTGTATCACAGTTGGGAAAATGGTCGTCGTGCCTATAATTATTTAATGACTGAAAATATGAAGCGCTTACTGCGAAGGAATTACGATATGGCGGTAGCACCTCATGTAAAAACGGGTTTAATAACTGAGCAGGTATATTTCAAAAATTGATAAGCTAATAAATTAAAGGAAAATCATTCAATCTGCTGTATGGCGTTTATTTAATTATATTTCTCCGTTTACTTTTAGTATTGAAAGTAGAACTAAAATGTTTACATTTTAGCAACTGTGGACGGCCACATCAATGATGGCGCTAGATGACTCATACACTCGTCGTATATTTGGATATGAAACTGTTGACGAATTCTATCGTGATATCAGTTCTCTACCAGTATTGCCAGAAATAAAAATACCAATGGCTAGTTTGATTTTCTGCACTGCATAAAATTAAAAATTAGGTGATTATATGGCGATAAATAATATATTGTTTGCTGAGCAGGGACCTTCTTTTTGTGGAAAACTGATTTTTCTAGGACTCATAATTGATTGTTTATGATACTTTCATCGATTTGAACATAAATGACTGTTTCTCAGATATGTTTCTGCACTAGTTGCTTTTTTTGATTCCATAGTTAGGTTTTTATATTTTAGCACTACTTCATTTCTGGATATAAAACATAATGAATACCTAATGACAGATGTCAAACTTAAAGTGCTACAGATTTTCATGAATGCATTAGATGATCCTTTGATACCGCCGTGCCTTTGGCAACCAGTGCGTGATATAGCTGCTGCAAACGACCACTTTGGTTTTGTATTGACTAAACATGGTGGGCATCTTGGTTTTTTGGAAGGAAGTGGAATTACTCCAAATTCTGTGACTTGGCTTGACCGCTTCATCATTGAACTGGCTAATGCAGCTGTCGAAGTATATGACAACTAAAGGTATTGTCAGTTGCTATGTGTTTGCACTTTGAATAGAAAATCATCGGTGTTGTGTTTATAACTATCCCTACTTTGTCTGCATTCCGATTAAACTTGCTAAAGTTAAATTGTCTGCATCATTTTGTCTAAAATGATAGTTATAAACTATAATTTTCATTTATTGAGTGTATTATGTCCTGCATTTTATTGCAATTATGAAATTGGAAAGTTTATGCTAAAAATTTGAACTTAATAATGTACAGAAGTTTTAAACTACTCTGATTGAAAATAGTCCAAAAATATGTGCTTAATGATGTTTGAAAGTCTTAATTTCACCTTTCATAATAAAGGTTATATTTCTTTGCTCTACGGAAGCTTTTTTCTTGCAAAATTTAGCAGTGTTTTATATCGAAAATCAACTTTATTTCTGATGTTGCAAGTTAACGAGAACTTTGAAATGAAAAATCTGTTTGCAAATGATGCATTTTTGTTTGTTCCGTATTTTATTCAAATTTCCACGGGTTAATGTTT